TGTGGTGTTGGTCTAATAAAGGATAGAACACATGCAGAATGCATTTTTCAGTGTGTGTGACGGAATGGAACATCCTTTGGTCCCACATGAAGGGGCCCGCCTGATGCCCTTCTTTAATCACAAAGGTACAGAAGGGATGGCGCCCAGGGTTGTCTGAAACTCATGTAATGAAACAATGTAAGAGTGTATCAATCCCTCAGAGATGATGAGAACCACATCACAGGAGTGATGGTAAGGAGAAAAAGCAGGAAGGGTCAGGGATACTGAACTCATTTCAATTTAACAGTAAAAAGAGCTCCACACATACCAATTTTCATCTTCAAATCTTAGAGTCAAAATGGTCACATTTTAAATTTGTCTTATTTTCAATCACTAAAAATATGTAAACTGTCATTTGATTTGTGTTTCCACTTAAAATCAAACCACAGAATTTGCAAATACCAAGTCACCCAGAGATGTCCCCACATGTGTCACAAATAAGGACACTGAAATGATGCAAAACAGCTTCATTGTTCATGTCCTTGTGTTCCTCTCTTCTTCAGAGAGTAAAATCCTGCCTCTGAATTGAGCTCTTCCTGCCCAGGTCTCAGATGGATGGAACAAAAGCTATTTAAGTGCAAGGGTCTTGCTGCCTCTGTGGTTCAGAGTGACCACTGTGAGACAGTGTAACTTCCACAACCCTGTTCCCACATATCTCCTGAGTAGTTGGATGTATGACCCTCTGGACCAGAGAATAAGGTTGAATACCCACTGCCCATCCAGAGATACACCTCCATTCCCTCCTCCCACACACACTGAGAGTGCCATCCACTCCAGGTCTTCACAATCACTAGGTCATTTCTCTGCCCCTCTTTCCAACATTAGTTCTGCACACAGAGGTTGACAAAGGACTGTCATTGAGCTGTTCACACACCCGGGTGTCAGTTCCAGTTCATCTTTTTTATTGATCTCTCAGTATCTCTGCAACCTTGGCCCTGCCTGGCCATGTTCATCCTCATGAATGAAGCTCTCAGACCATGCCCCTGTCATTTCTTCTTAGCATCTCCATCCTATCCTGGGTAGTTTATCCCTCATCTGCCTGGCAGTTACCTGACATATTTTCTCGAGGGATATTCTAGATTTCTCTGCTGCATACTGTAGGGAGATTCACAATGTAAATTCCAATCAACTGAATCAAATGTTGACATGAATCAGGGCTTCATGCTGTGAAACATTGCTCTCCTGGACACACTGCCACAGGAACCCAATTTTCGATCATATTAAGGATTCCAACCACCATTGCTTCATCAGTTCCCAGGACCTTTCTGTCCACATCAGGATTTTTTATTCTGTGGACAATGCAGGAGACCACATTTTGTAAAGATTTTAAATAAAACACCAAAAACAAGACCCAGTTTTAAAAAGTGCAATAAAAATATATTTGTTAACAGAAAAACAAAAACAAACAACAACAAAAGCACATTTCTACCACCAAAGATTCTACTGAGGGAATTAAATGACAAGAACAGACAGGAAATTATGTTTTAAACCATATGTCTGATGGAAGAAAGGGGTTATTGTGCATTAATAATGTCATGTGTTTTGCGGGAGAGCCCATCACCACTGGAGTTCTGTGACCATCTCCATAAGTAGGGGCAACAGTGGCTGGAAGTGAGGTTTCCTGTCAGGGTAGAAGTTCCCATTCCAGTGAGAAAATCTGTGTTAGGAATTTCCTTCATTATCTCCCTATGAACCCCAACATCACTGACAAAACTGGACTGATAAAACAGGTCAGTTAAAACATATTTGTAATGAGCCCTGACTTGCATTGCGAAGTAGATAGAAAGCTGGACTGCAAAGTTAAAAGTCACTGGCTGAATTCCCAGTCAGGGAACATGCCTGGGCTGTGGGCCAGGTCCCCATTAGAGGGCACATGAGAGGCAACTGCACATTGATGTTTCTCTCCCTGTCTTTCTCCTTCCCTTCCTATCTCTCTAAAAAAATAAATACAATATTTAAAAAATAGTTTGTAGACATTCCATGATTTGAAAAATCCTCCATAGTAAATACGTATAATTACTATTGTTATTTATAATACTTTCCATGTGATAACAATATCATTTCTCATGCAATTAGTTAGGGTCACTGAAATATGTCATGGGCATGCATAAAAATAGAGTTTTCACAGGGAGTGGTAGACACAATCAAAATTTTCCAAAAATAAAATAACAAAAGCATATGACTCTCTCACCTCTGCTTGGGATTGAGTTATTCAGATAAAAATGTCAGAAATAAAGAAATTTTGCATTCAAACTGGTTTTGTCTATTTTTTAAGATTTTATACCAAGGTAGACATTATGTATATATAAAATTGCATTGATAAATATTTCATAATTGTTGTGTTTCATAAAATATATGAACAAGTAGTAATCCCTTTTGAATATTTTTCAAAGATGCATGAATATTCAAAAATGGCACATGCTCAACTAGTGCAGCATTATTTCTTATGCTCAGGAAGGTGAGCCCATCATTTGTTCCAATTCCAATGTCTCTCATAAACCACATGGCCCCTCTCTCTGACAGGCATGGTGAGTGAGTTCAAGAGAAGAGATATCCTCACAGAGGTCAGAGAATGGTTGGGGTGTTGGACCTCTGACCTCCTGACTTATAGGGAAAAGGCTGCCCCACAAGCAAATTCCACTTCCAGCTCCAGAGTAAATCCTCCTCTGGGCAATAGGGTCTCTCAGCTCCTCCTCACATGGCTCTGAGTTCTCTGGGGAAGGCAGAGTTGTGTTCTACAAGAAGATGAGACTACTAGGTCTCCTGTGCCTGGTGACAAGCCCCCAGGGATGAGTGTATGAGATGTCAGACAAGTGTGTATGGGATGGTGATGAATGCATGTGACTGACAAAATCTGATGCTCCTGGTCCCCAGGTGTCATGCCCCAGGTGCAGCTGCAGGACATAGGCCCAGAACTTGTGCAGCCCTCACAGATGCTCTCCCTCACCTGTACTCTCCCTGGATTCTCTTTAATGAGCTATAGTGTCCACTGCACCCACCAGCTTCCAGGCAAAGGGCTGGAATGGGTCACTGTTATATGGAGTGATAGAAGCAGACTCTAACCCAATGCTGAAATCCCAGCTCAGCATCACCCGGGATACCTCCAAGAGCCACGTATATTTAGCCCTGGCTAGTATCGCTCAGTGGATTGAGTGCTGGCTTGAAAACCAAAGCATCACCAGTTCAATTCCCAGTCAGGGCATGTGCCTGAGCTCTAGACCATGTCCCCAGTGCAGGGGCCTGTGAAAGACAACCACACAATGTTGCATCTCTCCCTCTCTTTCACCCTCCCTTCCTTCTCTCTAAAAGTAAATAAATGGAATCCTTTAAGAAAACAGTCAAGTGTTTGAAACACTGAAAAGCCTAAGAACCAACAGCACAGCCATGTATTAGTAAACAAGAGACACATTGGGGGAAGTCAGTGTGAGCCCAGACACAAACCTCCATGCAGGAGAGGCTGTGACCTCCATGGGATGTTCAGGGGCCTGGAACACAAGGACACTACCAGGAGCGGGTGCAGTTAGAGGTTAGGGTAAATTTCCTCTCTGGTTTCCTGTTCATGTAGCACTTGCCCTCAGAACCTCTCTAGATTCCTGACTCTATGCTCACCTTTGAAGGCTCTGAATTAGGCAAGTCTGTTGTAAATGAAGAAAATATATCCCTGTGGACATAGTCTGAGTCTGTCCTGGAGCTAATAGTGCAGCCCAGCCCCACACAGCTAAGTGTCCAAGCTGGTCAGCATCAGGACAGGTGTGTGCAGGGACAGTGAACATCAACAGAGAAATAAGTGTGTGTGTGTGTGTGTGTGTGTGTGTGTGTGTGTGTGTGAGAGAGAGAGAGAGAGAGAGAGAGAGAGAGAGAGAGAGAGAGAGAAAGCTTTATTGAGCAGTAGATGTGCTGTGGGATTAGGGTCTCACACAGGGATACCTAGATGGGCCCTCCAAGCACAGGAATCTGAGGACATCAGAAGCCCCCAAACTTCGCAAGAATTGTGCTCAGTGGTATTGGCTGAGTCAGTGCATCTGGCAGTCCCAGAAAAGGGGATCCCTGGAGACTTTAATAGGCCCCTGGTTTTATGACTCCTCTCTGGGTCACTGGGGTTTAGTAAAGTCAGTTCTCTGTGCCTAGAGATGTACAAGCACATGGTGTCCCTGGAGAGTCATCCTGAAGTCAGGGCACTGCCTTCAGTTCTAGATAAGAGATCCTGAGGAGCCCACACACTGTGAGTATAGAAAGGACCCTCTCCTGTGGAGCATGGCGTGGACATAAGAAGGTGCACAGGACCCACAGGCTTAGGGCTGCTGCCCAGTAACAAGTGCAGAGAAGCTGAGGAGGAATTGACTGTGAGTTCCTGCATCTTTCTCTTTTCATGATGTAATCTAAAACAAAAGTTAGACATGAGTTGACTGTAAATATTCTATTATATCCGAGAATTTACCAAACTTGATAAGACACGATAGCCAGAGTAAAGGGTTATTTCTAGGGCTTTTTTGTATTTGAATTGTGAGGACCTGGGAACAAGGGTGGTTGTATTACCTCAATAGGTGCAGTGTTTAGAGACATACCAATAAAGGAATAAGGCTTTCAGGTAGTGAGGCCAGAACTGATTCAGGTGTTCTCTTTGTCACTCAAAGGTGGGCTCACAATTAGAAGCATGTCCTGTGTTGGCTTCTTCCTCTGTGAGAGGAACTATGTCAGCACAGAGCACAGGGACATAGCAAGGGACACATATTCTGCATTAGTGATTAGACCTGGAGCCTCAGACTTCCACTGATCATGGTCCTTGTACCCTCTTCTTTCTGTCATGTTAGGTTAAGTCTTCAGCTGTGAAACTCTCTGCCTCATGACTATGCAAATGAGAAGAGGTAGACTAGGTTAAATGTGAGTATATCTGGGCTCTGAGAGCATCACCCACTGCCACACCTTCCCCTACAGAAGTCCTGACAGCACAGCCCCGCATCATGGACTGGAGCTGGAGAGTGCTTTTCCTGGTGTCAGTGAGTACAGGTAAGTGTCTTCCAAGTGTTTGCATTGAGAAGGGGACCAGGAAGAGTCAAGGGGGAATTCTACCTACTCCTGTCTCCTCTCCACAGGTGTTCACTCTGAAGTGCAGCTATTACAGTCTGGGTCTGAGGTGAGGAAGCCTGGGGTCTCAGTGAAGGTCTCCTGCAAGGCTTATGGATACACCTTCACCAGCTACTGGATGCAGTGGGTGCGACAGGCCCCAGGGCAAGGACTTGAGTGGAATGGAGAGGTTAATCCTAGCAATGGTAATACAAACTACGCACAGAAGTTCCAGGGCAGAGTCACCATAACTGCAGACAAGTCCACGAGCACAGCCTACATGGAGCTGAGCAGCCTGAGAGCTGAGGACACAGCCGTGTATTACTGTTTGAGAGACACAGTGAAGGGAACACAGCATGAGCCCAGACACAAACCTCCCTGCAGGAGGGTCTGTAAACACCAGGGGTGTTCACTGTCCCTGAACACAAGGACCTTCTCATGAGCATGTTCACTAGGAGTTCTTTGCAGGTTTCCTGTGTGATTTCCTCTTCCTGTAACATTTCCCCCCAAGAAGTCTCCCCAGACTCCTGATTCTACACTCACCTCTTACTCTCTGAGTTAGAGAAGTCTGTGGTAAATAAAGACAATATTCTCACATGGACCAAAGTCAGATTCTCTTTCAGAGGGTCTTGTGCCCAATTCCAATGAATCATCAAACCTTCTGACCCAAGTCAGATGAATCTACCCAGAGAGACTCTGTTGGACATAACAGTGTTGCCCAGCCCCACACTGCCCAGTGTCCAAGCTGGCCAGCACCAGGGTACATCCATACTGTGCAGTGGGCACCGGCAGCTAATGAAATCAATACCAGAAGGTGAAATGTCTGCTGTGTTGATGGTCACTGTGTTGGCATCATGCTCACAGCACCCAGCAAAGGTGATACCACATAGGACAGAGGTGCCAACAAAAGGTTGGTGTGGGTGTCCAGGCTGGAGACTAAATCACACACACCAAAGGGACATGGAGGGTTTATCATGCACATTTTTGAAATCTCTGGGAGGACTGGAAAAATCCTTCAGCAAGTAAGATGTGCTTCAACAGAGGCAGGGAAGGATACTGGATCAAGATTTTATTTTGTTGAGCAGGTGGTACAAAGGGGATTTCTGCTTATAGGTATTGTGTGGTTTGCCTCTCCCAGGGACAACTAAAGTGGGGGAGGCAAATTTTCTTATCAGATTTCCTATGTGGACAGGTGAAGAAGGGGAAGGAATTACCAATCAGTTGTCAGCAGTCAAACATAAAATAAAATCAAGTCTGACTACCTATTTCACTTGTCAACTGTAGAAATGAGCAAAAATGATAAAAATGCTCATTTTGTGTGGACACCTACCATGCCTATAGAAAATGAAAAGAATAATTATAAGTGATCAAATGAAGATGAAGATGATGATGATGATGATGATGATGATGATGATGATGATGATGATAGAATTTGATCAGCTTCCTGGTGCAGTGTCTTTGGCGGGATCCCTCCCAATCCAAGATCATCAGATTTTGAAAGGCCTTGCCTCAGATGTCTGCTTCCAAAGATGAAAGGCTTCCCCAGAATCTATGAGGACCATGAGTTTAAGGAGCCCTAATAAACTAAATGTCCAATTGAATAGAATTGTGTGTGATTCTTTGGATGTAAAACAAAACCCACAGATGGATTTCATGGAGTTTCACTGCTGCACTTGCTGTTCAAACACTTGAAAAAATACCTTCCAATAAGAAGGGAAGAAAAAACACCTTCTAATACCTTATGGGCAATTTTCACTATTATTTTCTGCCTGCATGCAGTGGGGCAGAGGCCAGTTGTGAGTGAAAGTCAGTGAATTCATGGCTGTCTCTATTCACATGTCACATCTGACAACTGATGTGTCCTTGTGGGGAGATGATGGGCCACAGGTGTGAGTGGACAATCTTTGGACACAGCAGTTAAAGTTAATTGGCGTGCAAATAATTTTTATGTAAAAATGATATTTTTCAATCTCTGCAAAGATAGTGGGTGCTAGTGACCATGACATGTGTGTGTCATGGGCACACAACACAGCACTGGTTTGTGACAATTTGATAAAGTGAGCACCTCTGTCACTGCACGTGTAAGTGGTGAATATGCAAATTCAAGCAGCTTCTGTCATCTGAATGGACCAGTTTTCTGTCAGGGAATTAGCTCCAGGCATCACGGAAACACACACAATGAAAACATGTTCACAAGCCATGGGGAGTGTAGTTGGATGAAACCATCCTAATCATTGACAGGACACCCTTGAGGACTCAAGATCTCACCTTCACTGCTGGCCCAGGATTTGCTGTTTCTGTAACACAGAAGAAGGAAACAACTTCTGCTATGTCTGGAAGTTTTCACACCAGTGTTCACTGAAGATGATACCAGTGTGTCTATCCCATGTGTGCAGTTACACAGTAAAATTTAACAAGAGTCATTCAAAATTATCTTATTCCAACAAATAGTTGGTTTATGTGAGTGAGGTAGCCACCTGCAAAGTTTTCCATTCTTTTTTACTTAAAATCATAGGCTAAACATAGACATGTCACAGCAAGGGCCTTGGGTCCTTCAGTAGATTAATCCTTTGAGGGTTCAGATGGGTTAGCAACCCAGATTTTAAGGCTGCTTGTTTGGTATAATGAGTTCTTAGAGCATTTGCTTAGCTTCTACACAACATGTTTTTGTATTGGCTTCCACCCTCATGTTATTTCAGTCTCCAGGTTGGATCAGTGCCTCAGGCTTCCTCAAGTTCTTCATGGGGTGAGGATTCCTAGAGATATGAGCACCCACTTTGTTTGCACATAATCTGGTCATTGTAATCTACTGCTCCCCAGGCTGCTGTTTTGTTTTGTTTTGTTTTGTTTTCCTCATCCCATCTTGAGTGACAAGCCCAAGGAATGACAGTACCTTGCAACATCTGGGGTGATTTTATATCAGATGGAAGAATGGATTCAGTCAGAAAGTTCCTTTATTGCACTGCATTCTGATTAACAGCCTCCAGGTTTAATATCGATGTGTGATCTATTAACAAATAATACCAAGTCCAGGTTCTCATGAGTCTCCAATAAATTGAAGGTTTTCACTGAAATTACCCTAATGGAGACTAAACAATTGTGAGCCCCATTTTGGAATTTAGTTATGACACCAGTGTGTCTAAGATTTATCACAGACGTGTGTGGGTATCACCAAGAACCTGGGACATGGGTACATTTTCAAGTCAGTGCTATAATATCTCAGTGACTCCAAATATTATGTGTGGCTATTTAATAAAAAAGGGGGAACCATTTGAATTGAATAAATACTGAGGAAAAGCACACTATAACAACTGACAACCCCAATTGTATGTGAACTCAGATGGGGTTCATTCACCACCCATGTTAATGTATCCCCATGGACAGGCTTCCTTTTCCCATTCACACATAGATATACCCAGTGCATCAGGTTCAAGTTCAGTGGATGCCCATCACGTTTGCACGTGGTGACTACACTCCCAAATGTCCCATAGAGACATGAATAGGGGCTGTGAGACAGAAGCGATGACTCTTCTGAAATTTATTATTGATGAACAGGGGCGTCCCAACATAATCAGTGCTCTGCTCCCTGATTACAGCCACACCACAGGTCCACATGGACACAGATCATGACGATGAGAATAAGGCTGAGATGCCAAAGATGAAGAGTTTAGATAAAGTTGCATCCATTATCTAAAGTAACGGGAGGGCATATGAATGTTGTATGTATTCTGTAATGAATACAGAAAAAATATTGTTTTTCATATCAATACTATTGTATTTATATCTGTTATTTCTTTTCTTATTGTTGTTCAAGTAGTTTTCTACCTTTTCCCCAACCCCTCTCCACTAGCCCAGCCCTTCCTGCCTCCCTTCCCCATTTCCACCCACTTGTTATTGTCCCCCCTTGTTATATGTCCTTTATAAGTGTTTCTGTATATCCTTCACACTCTTCCCCATTACCCTCCCCCCTCTCCCTTCTGATCACTCTCAATTTCAGTGTCTTTGGCTATACTTCACTTACTTGTTCATTTTGTTGATTAGGTTCCTGTTAAAGGTGAAATCATATGGTAAATGTCTTTCACCACCTGGTTTATTTCACTTAGCATAATGCTCTCCAGTTACATTCATGCTGTTGCAAAGGGTAGGAGCTCCTTCTTCCTTTCTGCTGCATAGAATTCCATTGTGTAAATGTACAATAGTTTTTTGATCCATTCATTTACTGAGGGGCATCTAGGTTGCTTTCAGCACTTGGTTACTGTCAATTGTGCTACTATGAACACTGGGGTGCATAGGTTCTTTTGGATTGGTGTTTCAGGGTTCTAAGGATATAATCCTAGCAGTGGAATTGCCAGGCAAAAAGGCAGTTCCATTTTTAGTTTTCTGAGGAAATTCCGTAGTGTTTTCCACAGTGTATGCCCCAGTCTGCATCCCCATCAATTATTTCTTAAATATTCCATGTATTTGTTTGTTTATTTGTTTATTTATTTATTTTGAGAGATAAGGGGGGAGGAAGAGGGAGGAAAATATCAGTGTGTGTTTGCCTCTCAAACACCTCCTGCTCAGACCATGGCCAACAACCCAGGCATGTACCCTCATAACAGGGTGCAGTCAGAGGTCCCCCAGACAGGGATTTAATGAGGTTGAGAACTCAAGGTGTCCAGGATATATTAAAAATAAAGGATGTCCTCACCCAAACAAATCTGAACTAGGGGTGGGACACATCGAGCAGGCCCATTTGTGTTGTTTTGCATGGAGACAATTTTGCAAATAACCTCTAGAATGACCATTTACCATATCTATAACTTTTAACTGGTTTCATGGATATGCTACATATCTGTGGCCATGCCTTGAGCCTGGAAGATGAGAGTGACTTCCACCCATGACTTAACTGGGAGGCAACTCCCACTGGTTAGAGAGCCTGTGAGAGCTTGTAGATGATTGGCTCCAACAGGGCCACACTTGCCTGGATTTACTATGGCAGCCCAGTAAAGCTTTAAAAACACGGGAATGCTGGCAGGTATAGTTGGTTGTAGGAAGTGTTGGAAAATTAGGCTGGAGAGGAAGATTGTTGCTGGGATTTAAACCCTGGTCCAGCAGACATCGGAAGGATAGTCACAGGGCTTTGGGTCTCCCTTTGCCATGCAGCTTAGGAGCTAGAAAGCAAGATGTAGTGGTGATGCAAAGCTCTCTCTTAGAAGTTTGGGAGAATGCAGAACAGCCTTTGTGAGAAGGAAAGGGGTGAAAGGACTCTTGCTGGTGGGTCAGGAGAAGGTTCCACATGGGTTTTTATTAAGAACTTGAGATCAAGGTAGCAACAAAGCTGATGGTACTGGGAATGGCAGGAGGCCTGTCTGGTGAACATGGATTACTGGAAAGAACCGGGGGCTCCCTGAGCAAAGGACTTGTATTTCTTTTCCTGGGATATGGTATCTGGACTGGGCT